TAACAGAGCCAAAGCCAAATCCACGTCGGGTCTGTAATGTAATTCGTGATTCAGCATAAAATGTCGGGAAAGCGGCTACGCGCCCACAATTTATTGGCGAGCCAACGGCCTCACTGGCTGTATGGCTGTCTGTCTGGCTGGCTGGCGTTGGCTGCTGGTTGCCTGCCTGCCTGCCTGCCTGCATTAGCGTTTGGTCTCAATATGGAGCTGGCTCTGGCGCTGGAGCTGGCGCTAAGGTTGGCGTCGGTCTATCAGTTGCGCAAACGGGCGGCGGATAGGCCAATTGCCAATTGTCAGATACAATTTATATTCCCCTTAGATGGTGCTGCCACGGTTGCCACGGCTGCCACGGCTGCACTAAATGCGAATTGAAAATAAAATATTACTCCGAGATTGCAGGCAGTGCGGGATAAAACGCGAAAAAAAGAAGCTCGACGACGACGATGACAATGAAACGCAGCGCTGTGTGGCGACAAACAAACACAAGTGCAGCAGCAAAAACAACAACAACAATAACAACAATAGCAGAAACAACAACAGAAACAGAATTGCGCCAACGGCCATGCGATGGCAGCGACGCCGACGATCATCAAGCGCAAAAGGAATCGTAAAACAAAAGCGACAGATAGTTTGCAGCGTGCCATAAAAACAACAACAACAACAACAATAACAGCAGCAGCAGCAGGAGGTGTGTCTGGTGGTGGGGGAGGGGGGAGGGGGGCAGAGCGGCATGTTGGCAACGAAGGCAGCCTCAAATAGTCATAGCAGAGGTGCAACCGACAGTTGTGGCAGCGACTGTGCAGGCAGCGGCAATCGATTGTGTGAACTTTTTGTTGTCGTGGAGTGTGGAAAGGCTTATACACACATACACACACACACACACACATTCATACATACATATATGGGTATGTGTATGAATAAAAATGGCGTGGAGGAGGGGGTGTGGCCAGTCGTACTCAGTAGTCAGTTCTCACCGTTGCCGCTGCTGTCGTCGTTGTGATAGTGACGGACACGGACACAGAGACAGACACAGAGGCAGTCACAGACACAGAGACAGGCGCAGGCACAGTGCAACAGCAACAGCAACAACAACAACAGCAGCGTCATCAATGTTTGGTACACGTATTAGAGTAAACGCATTAGGCTGGTGCTTGAAAGCACAAAACGCTAAAATGAACAAATGTTTTTATTTATTTATTTATTTTTCATCGACAAAAAATGCAGTCGATGTACATAAAAAAAATCCGTACAATACAATAGAGAACTTAAACTAAGTAAAACTAAAGAAATAAAAAAGCATATAAAAATGACAAAAATATCTAATAACGAATCCGACACGGTGGGGGAATTTTATTTGCCAAACGGCCAGCTATGCCCCGATTCACAGCAGAGAGTAGTCAGATACGTTATTAGACCTATCAAAAAAGAAGTGCATATGAAAACATATAGCAATAAAAGATAGAAGACCGACAAGCCGGGAAATTACAAAAAATAAAATAAACTCGTTCTTTCTCGGACCTAAGAGAATCTGGATGCCAACTTGTATAGTTTCTGAGATACTTGCATTCTTCAAGACAGACCGACGGACAAACGGACGGACAGACGGACGGACAGACGGACGGAAGGACCTGTCTAGATCGATTTCTCTCGTCACGCTGATTCAGAATATATATCCTTTATGGGGTCGGGGATGTTCCGGAACTAAGAGTCACAAATACGAAGATTTTAATTCCTATATTGGCAGAAAATATGGCTCAACTGCATACAAAATTCCGGTAATTGTTGAACCTTTTTAAATTATTCAATACAAATCAAATCGTTGTTTCATTATAGTATATATAATATAATACAATATAAATTGATTGTAGTATTTTAATAATTTTAACAAATCCTGCATTTATTGTCTCTATTTCTTTTATACCAGCATTTCCTTTTCTCAATTTCAATCAATAATCATTTAAGCTTCCACTATAATGAGACCAATGCCAGAAAGTAGAAGGAAGCAATTTGAAAATTTCTAACCCCAAATGGGAGAAAAGAGAACTAGCAAATTGGATTTGCCGATCATTGGTTTTTGGATGAATTAGAAGAATTGATGCTTAGTGGCAATGAATGATCAATTTGAAGGTCCTTAATTGGCAAAACCTGAACTGAAAGCTGAGTTTTCAAAAAATAACCCACTCGATGGGCCACCAATGTTCTCTGCTACCTCAAGTGTTTCAGAAGAAGAAGACACTATGCTTCGTTAAAATAGGGACTTTAGGAACCACTCTAAAACGAATCAGAAATCGCATCGCATTGCAGTGTAGTGGCAATGAATGATCAAAACCTGAACTGAAACCCGAGTTTTCAAACTACAAGTAACCCACTCGATGGGTCACCAATGTTCTCTGCTACCTCAAGTGTTTCAGATGTAGGGAAATAGATTCATTTTGAAGACACTATGCTTTGTAAAAATAGGGACTTTAGGAATCACTCTAAAACGAATCAGAAATCGCATCGCATTGCAGTGTAGTGGCAATGAATGATCAAAACCTGAACTGAAACCCGAGTTTTCAAACTACAAGTAACCCACTCGATGGGTCACCAATGTTCTCTGCTACCTCAAGTGTTTCAGATGTAGGGAAATAGATTCATTTTGAAGACACTATGCTTTGTAAAAATAGGGACTTTAGGAACCACTCTAAAACGAATCAGAAATCGCATCGCATTGCAGTGTAGTGGCAATGAATGATCAAAACCTGAACTGAAAGCTGAGTTTTCAAAAATTAACCCACTCGATGGGCCACCAATGTTCTCTGCTACCTCAAGTGTTTCAGATGTAGGGAAATAGATTCATTTTGAAGACACTATGCTTTGTAAAAATAGGGACTTTAGGAACCACTCTAAAACGAATCAGAAATCGCATCGCATTGCAGTGTAGTGGCAATGAATGATCAAAACCTGAACTGAAACCCGAGTTTTCAAAAATTAACCCACTCGATGGGCCACCAATGTTCTCTGCTACCTCAAGTGTTTCAGATGTAGGGAAATAGATTCATTTTGAAGACACTATGCTTTGTAAAAATAAATGTACAAATGCGAGTTTGGGGACCACTCTAAAACGAATCAGAAATCGCATCGCATTACAGTGTAGTTCGCTGCAGTTCGGTGCGGTGACACCTTGAGGCGCTGTTGGCAAACTGCAGAAATCACATAAACGCCGTCGCTGTCGCCCGCATTTTTACAATCACAAAAACACATACCAGGGCTGGAGAGCCATAGAGAGGGGGAGGGGCAACGACGAAACGATAGACAATCCACATGCTCCAGCCAGCGAGGGGGATGTGGGGGCAGGGGCAGGGGCAGGCTGCAGGCAGCAAATACAACGTAAAAATGCATAAATCCGTAGGATTTAAAGATTTTTGCGAATTTGTGATTTTTCACATTCGTTTTTATACCCAGATCGCGTTGTTCCACACCCTCTACCTCCACATACTAGTTATTCGCTACGGTTCCACGGCCCCCGGTCCTCAGTCCTCAGTCCTCTTCCCGTCGCTGTGCTTTGTTTTAGTTCCTGGAAAATATTTTTCGCAGCATGGCAGTTATCGTGCGGGTAAGTGACGCCTCCAGTGTGGAATGTTTGTGTGGGCGTGACTGGATTTACGCGCTGTCCCGTTATGTCTGCGTGTGCATTTCTATGCATGTCTTCATGTCCCTGTGTCTAGTACGGGTACGAGTACGAGTATGTGTGTGTGTGTTCTAGGAAGCCCTGCTTAACACGCGCAATCAGCAACGCTACAAATTTTATATGAAATTTTAAGTTGTTTTGTAGCCCCACCGCCCCCCCATGGAACATGCTATCTGACCCACACAACCAATACCCTGCCTCCACACCCCTCTGGTTTACAATTCGAGTGTGTGTGTTGCGTCGGCTTTGATTTGCTTTCAACTACAAATCCTCAACGCGCTTTGCCCATTTGCCTTTGGGGCACAATATTTGCTAGCACACATTGTTTGGCTGCATTTTAAATGCACACCATTTTTAGATTCTCGCTTTTTATTACGCGCCACCATTTTTAGCTGCAAGTTCTGCGCTTTTGTGAATGCAGGTTTGAGAAATGAAAAATGCTGCAGCCTAAGAGCATGTGTTTTCGGTTCAATTGTCATATAAACATTTAAACGAGTGCACACATATACTTGTATAATATATTTGAGAGAGACAGGAATTTCATATGTGACCGCAAAACAGTCTCAGATTATATTGCAAAAGCCTTCAAGGGCACAGACTATAGTAAGGGCCAGTAAGGGCATGGCGTTAAAAGAATCTAACAGATGGTATTGGGTAATAAAGCTTTTTTTAAGTCTTGTTGTAACTGCAGCATTTAGTGAGCTGAGTTGGCGGATGAAGACATATCTGTCACAATACTCGTAGCTTAAAGGGACAGTTTATGTTCGAACAAGTTCAACAGATGCTTTGAGTCCTCTTTCTGAACTATACAAGGCATGATCACCTGATATGTTCTAAAGGTAAGTATCAATCCTTAGTCGTAACGCAAAATTGTGTTCTTCTAAGCAGAAGTGGTGAAATATAAATTTATTCAACAGAGAGTTTTTAAACAAGTCGCAGATTAATACGGAAGATCATTAATGGTTAGGAGCATACTTATCTGGGAATCTCCATTGTGAAACGTTAATTAACTAATGAATAATAGAAAAACATCTCATGATCACCTAAAAATAAAAACAAAGTAACAATAGCAGAAGTAATTTAATGATCATAAGCATATCAGTCACCAGCAACAACTTCTTCTACTTAACCACAAAGCTACTACCATGGCTAGTATTGTTACTAACTAGTGTGTATTATCCACAACCGCTTGGAAACTCTGAAAAGTGATCTGACGATTATTAAAATTACAAAAAGGCTGCCTTTGTCATATCCACTTTATTGTTAACCACCATCAACACTTTAATGCCAACAGAACTACAGCAACAACAGCATATATTTCGATCCCTCCCTACTTGATAGCCCCATAATCGGCGGGCATGCGAGTGCCCACAATCATGGAATGGCCATGCTTGAATGGCTCCAGCGATATCTGCTCCAGTGGCTTGAATCGCTCAGCCTTGAGCTTGTCCAGTTCGCTGGCATAGGCCACTTCGTCGGACTCACTGCGATGAGTGCTGTCCTTCTTCAGGACCATCAGAAAGTGGCCACCGGCCTTGAGGTAGTGGTGCGCATTCAGCATTAGCATGCGCACCTGATTCACACCCGGTATGTTGGAATAGATGGTATCAATGCGCTCCATCACCAACATGCGGTACTTGTAGGGCAGCGAGGCGTCGTCTATGATGGGTATAATGTTGCGCCTCTTGCTGGCCAGGGAGGTGAGCTCGCGTCCGGCCCAAGCGTTGCTTTCCACAGCATACACCAAGCCGGACTCACCCACAATATCGGCGATGTGCGAGGCATCCTGCCCATGGCCAGCGCCCAGACACAGCACCTTGCTGCCCACGGGCATGTATAGGTTTCCCATGCCGCCCATCACAGTGGCGGCCAACTTACTTTGAAACGGCGACCAGCCGCGGTACTGGACAGTCTTGCCGCGCACGGAAGCACTGAACAGCTGTTCGCCAAAGTCCACTTCCCCGGGCACCGAGTTGCGCGTCACCAGCTGCAGGGCATCGTTCTTGTAGCGAGCCATATAGACGCCCGGATGATAATGCGACTCAATGGCGATCGGCGCTTGAGCATTGTTCCCGACCTCGACAATGTTTTTTTTGCCAGCAGTCTTGGCACCACCGCTGCCAGCGCTGGCACCGTTACTGGCATTACCCTTGCCTTTGGCATTACCCTTTCCCTTGGGGTTATTGTTGCTCTTACCTTTGCTGGTGGCATTTGCGTTGGTCTTTGGCTTACATTTGGCAGCTGTGGTTGCTTTGTCGGCTGCCAGCACTGGATCCTTGCGGGCATTGCGAGCCTTGCCGCCCTTTGCGCGCTTCGCGGCGGCCGATTTGCCAGTCATTGCAACTGAACTATCGAGTAAATGCTTACATTAAAGTATTCACAATATTTATGAGTTGTTACAGCTCTACAAACTCATAAGAAAGATAAGTCAGACAAATGGGGAATTAGAAAAAAACAAACAATTTCGATATATTTTTTTTTTTTAAATAACTTTTCTTGCTATTTCCCTCTAATATCACGATTGTATATATTTTTCACGAAATTCGTAAATGCAACTATAATTTCATGGTGGGACCATTAGAATCAAGAGTGGAGTATTTTGTAATGTTCTTCTAATCGGCATTATTCGAAACCATTTTGGATGGCCTGCTATATAATAAAAGGACGAAGCGCACCCTCAACAGTGAGGGATTTTCTTTTAGTAGCGAATATTACCTTCTCACATGCAAATCATTGAAAATGTCATACGACTATCGTATCACATTATTAGTCTTTATATTTTTGCACGTCCTGGAACTGCACAACCGATTAAAATTCGCTTTAAGGAAGTGTTGATTGAGGGCGCAAATAAACGAGAGCATGTGAGCAAATACGATGACACACAAGGACTTCTGTCGTGCTTTTTTTCGTGCCCGTCTCCTGGAGACGCTCATATTTGGCTTTTATGCGCCGCTTTTGAAACCATTTTCCAGAGCCAGCAAGGAGCGGCATGAAATTATTTAACATGTAAATCAGAGGCTGAGTCTGAGGCAAAGCGAAAATCTAACGACGACGGCAAGGACAACTACGATGAGGGTGTGAATGGGCGTGTGGGTGTGGATGGGGAGGGGGACGGGGACGGGGATGTGGATTTCGAAGCGCACTGAGCGAAACTTTTTTAATTTCAAAGCAAATAGCATGGAGTGTGGGGTCAACTGAAGGAACGTCGGTGTGTGGGTGGAGTTGGGAAAGTTTGGGGGGCAGGCGAGGTCGTTGCAGATTATGAGCGACGGCAAAAGCAAAGTCGTGTTGATTATAGTCACGTACTAGTCACGCACACAAAAACACACAGCCAGACACGAATGAGCTGTAATTTTGTGAGTCTGCGTGTGTCTGCGTGTGTGTGTGCGACTCATGTGTGTGTGTATGTGTGTATGTTTGTGCCTATCTGCGTGCAAATATTGACGCTCAGCTTTTATTTACAAGCTCGCGCACTCATCGCGCAAAATGTTCAAGTTTCAAACAAAAGATAAATATTAAGTATTCTAAATCGCAAACTCCATTCGTCCGCCTGCATACAACCACCGACTTCAGCACCACCGTGCACCACACTCCCGCAATTTACTCATTTAACTGACAGTTAAAATTACAAACGCTTATCATGTACCAGAATCATATCATACGGAATAATTTATTATGCCCGACGCTTAATGTAATTCCCAAGCAGAGCAGCGCAAATTTGTGTGGCTCAAATGCGTCCCTTCCATTGCTCTATAAAACGATGGATATGTACATATGTATGTATGTATAGAGTATGTTTGTGTGTCTATCCCTGAGTGTGTATGTGTGACTGAGAGCAGGCTGGTAAAATGGTGGGTTAGCTGGTTAGCTGGTTTGTTGAAGTTCGTGTGTCTTTGAGTTAGAATAAAGTGCGCAACATACAAGCACACATACACACAAACACACACACACAAACACACTCATATATAGACTGACAGCTAGACAGACAGGACACATACGCACTTGGGCACATGGGCACATAGTTTTATTTGCTCAGCTTGTTTTCATACATTTGAAACGCGCGCGTAATAGACGTCTCTATAAATACATACACATCTACATCTATATACTAGTACATACATACGTATGCATGTAAGTGTGTGTGAGCTCGTTTATGCTCCGCACCCGGAGGTTAATTAAGATTTTGCCATGCATTTGTTTGCACAAATGACTGGTTGGCTGTACTGCGGGGTCCCTTCTGCCACTGCTGGATGGGGCTCTGGGTGCTGCTGGCTCCTTCAGAGCTCAAGTCAGCGAAATGAAAAAGTTTTATTAGTTGTAATCCGTAATTAAATTAAACTTGCAATTAAACATGTTGAAAGCGTATGCGTATGCCTTGATAATTGTAAGAATCAATGTGAATAGCAAGTGAAAAAGATAGCATACTATACTCCTGCTATAGTATAACGATTTAATATAGTACTTAGTACTTATAACTAAGGCCGACTGCTTCTTCTGTGTATGTTCATAAGCCAGAACACAATTATATGAGCGAAGTAGAAATAAACTGCATGGCCTGACCACACAATGAAGTCTGTTCGTTTTGAAAAAACTCTGTTCAAGGGGGCTCAGTATTAATATATTTTTATTTTTTATATTAAAGATCAAGCTTAACCCTTATTATTTATCAATTTGTGCAGTTAGGAGAGTCCTTTTTGTTTGTAAAAGTGCTTAACAATGTAAAATTGAAGCCGTTATAATTTTTCACATCAGCTAAATTTTGTATGAAAATGAAAATAAAATAAAAATAAATGAAATTTAAATTGGTTAAATAGGCTAATCGAATTATTTAAATCACAGCTAGCCGAAGAGCAAGGGAGGCGTTAATTAGATATTATTGTAATTTGATAAGATTTCTCCTTCTTAGGCTTTTCTAGCTTATAAGATGCTTTTTATAATTTTTATATATTTCCTATGTCGACAGTCAATGATTGTTGGCATAAATAAATAAGATACATTTTATTTATTTTTCTTGTCGCTCTAGGAAAATTAGAAATATGAATTCACAAATAAATAAATAGGTATATGCAATGCACTTTAATTTGAATGATCATTTTGTGGCTATAGCTCATAGCTGATTTTCAAGTTTTTTCCTTTCCCAGGCAGTTTAATTTGTATGATCAGCTTCCGGCACATACCTCATCAGCTAATTCAATTCTCCACTCCTTCAGCTCAATTGCAGGTACAATAGAAACAATACCGAAACACCAAACCCTACAGTAACCGGTCGACTTCATTCCGACGTGGTTTTCTTCGTCGGGGCAGTGCATAATAATAAACAACGACAACAAAAAAGTAGAAACTTTTCGAACAGCTAAATTTTTTAATGCACTTTCTAGCATTGCAAATGTTCCGTGCCTGCTGCTACTATTCCACCCTGCTGGACTTCGAAACAACCAAATGAAACTCAAGTGCATGTTACGACGGCCAAGCCGAACAAATAAACGAACAAACAAACAAACTGAAAAAATTTTAGAAGTGGCAACAAAAAGTCAAGAAGAACAGCAACAACAATAAAATGCAGGACGAGTTACAATTTTTAATAAACTTGCCATGTTGCTGCTGCCTCGGCTACTCTGGCTGCTCCTGTCAATCCCCCTGCCCCTGCTGGTATAGCACCATACTTTTGGGCGCGCCCCAAACGACAATGCATAATTTCCATTGTAGGCAATACGTAGCTGTAGTTGTTATTGTTGCTGTTTACAGTAGTTACTTTAGCTGCAATGTTTATTTATTTGCTCTTACTTGTATTCTTTTTTTGGCGAACGACAAGAACCTAAGAATGTTGCAAGAGGCAACTTTAGGCACGGCTGCTTGCCAAGAGCGGCCGACAAGCCGTGCCCTTGCCCGACCCTTAACTGCCCAGTGCCTTTTGCATAATGAGGAGGCGCTACAAAGTTCAGTGGCAAGTCAGTTGTGCGCGTCGTCCTCCAGCCGGCAGCGGCAGTTCATAAAAACAGCGACCAGAGAAAGAGTCAAATATGAAACTGAATTGAAAACGAAACTTTTATGAACTGGCTATTCCCACACACAAACAGAAACAGAAACAGAAAAGGAGTTTCCATAATGAACTTTATGTTCTGGCGATAGGTTGGGGGCTGGCCAGACAGCACAGCCGTGGTCTTTAATTACCAGCAAGCCAAAGACTTTGAAACGTAAGCACTAACTTCATGGCCAACTATGTACAAGTACTCGAAAGTATGCAAGATCCGTCAGGCAGTCCGGCAAGTACATATACATATGTACTTGTATGTATGTATCTTCAATACAGCTGATTCATAAAAATAACTGGAAAATATGCGCAAAAAAGCAATCATTCTGGTTTTCCTTAGTTAACAATGTATTGCAAGAGCTAAATACTTAAATCATTATTTAATGATCGTACTTTAGAGACGGTTTTGAATTTTAACAGTCTCTTTTTGAAACTTTTGTGAGAAACTAACATCCTTTGAAACCTATATAAGCGAAAAGTTACATCTACGATCATCTTAAGTTAAAGCACAATGGCAATGTATCTGCGTTATTAAAAGTAACTCGCAGACTTTTCTAACGAAACAATCGAGAACGACGAACTTCGCAAATGTTATCAAGATGTTCCAAAAAACATACAGATTTCCTTTCGTTAACCATGTTAAAGGATTATTTTAGCTTAATTTATAACCTTTTATGGCTATCATACATGTTTAAAAATTAAATCATTAAATAAATAGCCATGTTAGTTGGCTACAAATTCCCAAAAGAGAGTTAGGACAGTAAAAATACTGTTAATTCTGTTGGTTAAAAATCTATCAAAACTGAATATACATACGCATTGAAACAAATACCCGAAGAAATTTTTAAAGTTCGATTAGTACGAAAAGCTACTCATCTGATATTCACAAAGAGAACTGCAATTCAAAGCTCTACAAATTACTTTAAAGATAATCTAAAAAGGCAGTGCTTTCATTAATTAGTTTTACAATTATAATAGTTGTGGGCTTTTTAAATTGTTCATTTCATCAACTGATTACAAAAATACCAATATTTATTCTGTGCAGCCCTGGGATAACCCAACGCAATATCGATTTCCAATTAGAACGAAAAGTAGGAAAAGCGATCAATATTTATTTTTCTCCTTTTTATACATTTGCCATTAGTTATAGACATGTGTTGTTTTGTTAACCAAACACTCCCAATTAGTCAATGTCAGCAATGTCATTATCTCCGGCGCCATTCCCATTTTCTTCCGAGTACCAATTCAAACGCTCTTCGTAAAATTTGATGACAACTTGCGGGCAACACTGGTTTGCCAATTTAGCA